GGCGCCACACTATGCGCCGAGGGTGATAGGTGTATATAGCAAAGCGATGGGACATCACGTGACAGTGATAAGCTCATCCCTGAGTTAGCCGCCGCCTCTCGGCTGGATACAGGAAGTCGGAGTCGAGGGAACGCTTCCATGATCGCTGGGCGGCCCTTGCCGGTGTTGCCTCCGTGTTTCCCACTCCACTGGGCACGATCACTCCTCCCTGCTCCTCCACTACAGCATATGGTGGACCTCCAAATCGGAACATCACGGTGGCCTACTCTCCACCTACTTCACCCACTTAAACCTACTCCACTAAACCTAATCCACTACACCACTACCACCTCACCTACTCCACTAAACCTAATCCACTACACCACTACCACCTCACCTACTCCACTAAACCTAATCCACTACACCACTACCACCTCACCTACTCCACTAAACCTAATCCACTACACCACTACCACCTCACCTACTCCACTAAACCTAATCCACTACACCACTACCACCTCACCTACTCCACTAAACCTATCACCTACTTCACCCACTTAAACCTACTCCACTAAATCTAACCCACTACACCACTACCACCTCACCTACTCCACTAAACCTAACCCACTACACCACTACCACCTCACCTACTCCACTAAACCTAACCCACTACACCACTACCACCTCACCTACTCCACTAAACCTAACCCACTACACCACTACCACCTCACCTACTCCACTAAACCTAACCCACTACACCACTACCACCTCACCTACTCCACTAAACCTAACCCACTACACCACTACCACCTCACCTACTCCACTAAACCTAACCCACTACACCACTACCACCTCCACTTCACCTACTCTCCACCTACTCCCAAACACACTCCTATATAATAGGAATCCTTGTAATTGTAATATACACAATCAACAATCAATCAATAATACCTCATTTTTAACATGATGAGAGGCACCATAGTTAAAAAGCCAGACAGACGAAGAGATACCTGAAGAAGACCTAAGCAAACCTGAATGAAGAGAGGAAACAATGGAGGCAGATGGAGATGGCTGGGAAGTAGACAGTATATGCTGAAGCTGGCTATTTGAGCACTCAAGGAAGCCAAGTTAGGATCAGGAGCCGGAGTAGATGCAGTAAAATCGGCGGGAGGCCGAACAGACAGACATCCATTCTTGGGACAATGGTACTTCCAATGACCCCTATGATGGCAGTAGGCATATTCATTCGAAGCCAGAGACATCATAATAACTAGAAAACTGAGGGATTCAAGTATACCCAAAATTTTGTAGGATTATTTATTTATTTATTTAGAATTAATGGGTTAAACTTATAATATTCAGAAGGTGCTGGGGTTAAACAATAATAAACCTAAAATAAGTTTTTAAGATTACTCACCCAAACCAAACGTTAACCCAAACCAGACAAACCACGAGCAAAGAGAGAGGAGTCGAAGAAGATCACCAACCGAAGAACCACGAGCAGAGAGAGCAAGAGTCGAAGAAGACCAGAGAAGCTTCGAAGCTCACGGTGTCGTGACTCCAGAACCAGAGAGAGACAATCGGAGCACGATTGCGACGTCAGAGAGTGAGAAGGGTCATGACCACGACTGTGATTTCAGAAGAAGGGTCGATTGATGGCCACAAACCAGAGACTGAACCGACCACGGCTGCGATGTCAGAGGAAGGTACGATTGATGGCCACGAACCAGAGACTGTACCAAAATGGTTGATTCAAACTCAGATGAGGACTAGGGTTTCGAATGTGGCTCTGATACCATGTAAGTTTTTGAATAATTCTGTATATTCAATTGTGTATATTTATAAAGAGTTCAGCAGTTTATATAGCCTAAACCTATGACTGAAAATGGAAATACAAAGAAAAGGAAATTGCCTAATTCCTAATATACACAAGGAAGAAAAGGAAATTGCCTAATTTTTAATATACACAAGCATGCCGTATATGCAATATATATTCTCACAATTGCTACATTCACAAAGTTCCAGTAGGTTGTGAGCAACATAGTTCAATTGTTAGTCACTTAATCTGAAAGGGGCATAGTGTAATCCTTTTTGTCATATATCAATTTCTGAACTGCATCCCTTGGTATAGATTTTGGCAGGCATACTTTTTGTAGATTGATATATTATATAAGAAATTGTTGGTTTCTATTTCTCCTTGCCATTTTAGACTTTATTGATGTCTTATAAGCTAATACCAGCTCAAAACAAATTTGCTTTAGCAAAGATAGATTTCTTAGGCCAGCTCCTTGCCATTTCAGACTTTACGTGATTGGCATAAGCGCAGTCTAGAATTTTTTTTCCGTGAAATGCAGTATGCAATCCAGAATTTCATTAAAAAGTGAGGTGTCTAAAAGTGATCTATTCACAGTTTTCGTTTTCTCTCTCTCTCTCTCTCTCTATATATATATATATATATATAATATCTTAGTGATTATTTTGGTCTCTATCAAACGATTTACTTATCCTAATTTTTGGTCCTTAGGGCTTCTGGAACCCCAAAGGTTAAAGTAGGTGTAGTCGGAGCTGGTACAGCAAGTATATTTGAGGAAGTAGCACAGTCATCAAAGTGCCTTGATGTTGCTTTTGAACCATCAAAAGGTATATCTATATGTCCTTTTCTCCTTTATATTATCCAACAAGCACGTATATATAAGCACACATCATAACATGGCATTTTGCTTTTCACCCCTTGTTCACTTGGAATCTCACAACTACTTGGTAAAATTTAATTTAATTTTTGAATTTTTCTTCAGCAACAGGTAAGGTTTTGGCTTCAGAGCTTCCAAAGCACGGGAACAAAAAATGCACTGTCCTATATCCTGCTTCAGCAAAAGCTAGTGCTGAGATTGGTATGTGCAATGTTTCTGATTTTATGATGGCCCTTTTTGTCAACTGAGAATTAGTCTGCACATGAATATGTGGATCCTATCCCGTAATGCACAAACAAAATATAATTCAGGTTCTATATTGGATGGGAAGACAACAAACAGTATCTGCATCATATTAGTGGTTCCGAACACAAAACTGAAACTTAAACACGATAATGATGCCCATAGAGGCCTTAATAAGGTTCAGCATCATTGTTACTGAATTTCATTTATTCTATATATTTTTTTGAACATATATTTATTCTGTATATTCATTCTCTCTAGCAGCTGACTGAAAGATTAATATTGTGAGTGTATCATATGACTTATTATTATTATTTATTTATTCATTTTTAAATTTAGATACTTTGTTGTTCACTCTCTTTTTATTGCTTTGCCAACAATGTAAAAGTTCATTCTGTCTTTCAGTGCAAATTCTCCAGGAAATTGATTCATTCTGTGTTTTTTTTTTTAATCTTTTCTTTTTTCCCTTTTTGTAATATGAAGATTTTTTTGGGCACAAAATGAAGCAATTTGTCTTCTCCATACAGTTCTCAGAGAGCATTGTATGTTTTTCTGAACACAATTTTATCTACTACATACAATTCTTAGGGTGTAGTTTGTTGTGACTACCCAGCTCAATTCTAAACACACATTTTTTTGCCTTAGATGTCTATCACTAGTGCTAAAGCCATTTATATAGATCACCTTTCTTGCATTCTATGGTAGCTCTTGTCATGTCTCATGTCTGAGAAGAACATACATTTGAGACAATTTGAAAGTCTTATGATTTATTGTGTAACCTTCTTAGCATTTAGTGTCATTGCAATTTAGGAGTTTATGTTCTACGAGAACTAGATGAAAATAACATGGGTTGATATTTGTCACCTTTTTCTTTTTTCTTTTTTTTTTCCAGAAGAAGGCCTGTCTAATCGTGGATTCGAAGTCACAAGGCTAAATACATACACAACGGTAAATATTCGAAGTTTGATCACATTGATGCATTCTGGTTCTGGATAGTCCATTTTCTCCCTTCTTGTCACAATAACTCTAAAATTTTAGTCACCCTTTTTGGTTTGATAGTTTCATGTGTCTAAATTGCTGTTGACCTCTTAATTTCATTTTGTGCATATTCTCTATGTGTACCTGCTATTGAAGGAAAAAAGCTTTGTTTATCTAGATTTAATTTTTTTTTGGAGGGTACTATTGAATTGTAATGACTAGGACTCCTTGTAAATTGTAATTCCTCATGCTTTTTAAGCTTTTTTCATTTTCTTTCTCCATTGTACTTGAGAGAGAGAAGTTCCCAACGTGTTTGCTTTTTTTAGTGTTTAGCTTTATGTACCTCTTTAAATTGGTCAATTCGATACATACCTCTGTAAATTGGTCACACTCAGTAAAGAGCAATTTTACTCAAGCATCTCAATAAATTAATTTAATTTGGGCATTGAGCTGTTGGATGATTTTAGTGAGGTGTGTATTAATAATTTCATGCAAAGTTTTAATTGGTAAGAGCATATAGGCTCAATCTTCTATTTCCATACTCAAAATTGGCATTGCCTAGAAAGGCTTATGCCAATTCTGTGCAAGTACTAAGTTGCTGCCCATTCTCAGAAGGTATAACTTCATCTAGTTTTTAGTGGAATTGGTTATTCAACAATTGCTGATTTTTTCTTTTTATAGGAGACAGAGACTTTAATATTTATTATTTTTATAAATAGACACAAAGATGGCATTAGCTCTTTTACATGGTTAGGATCCCCGTTCAATGCTTTTCTCAATAAGTTTTAACTTATAACAAAAAAATAAATTGATATGGCATTAACTTTAAACTTTATTTGGTGGCTGATGGTGGCCAATTGACTTATGTCTGGCAGGCCCTGACTCCTATTGTCTTCTTCCAGGTTCCTGTTCATCATGTAGACCAAATAGTTCTCATGCAGGCTCTTTCTGCTCCTGTTGTTACTGTAGCATCGCCTTCTGCTGTTCGGTAAACCCATCGATCAAACTTTTTTTCTTAGCTATGTAGGGTTTGAACATATTATTTTCTAGTTCATATCCTAGCTATGAAAAAATAAATAGATAAAGAAGGCAATATGTAATATGACTAATATCGTATGTATATCAGTATGGACATTCTTCATTTAAACTTAATGCCAGGTACCCAAGCTAACCATACTTGTATTTAATTCTCCCAAACCCCTATCCAATTGGGACTTAACTATGTGTACATGATGGTAGCTGTTCCTTTTAAATGCTTTGTGATTAATAAAAGCTGTAGGGTCAATTTTTTTCCTGCATGTGTTTTACCAGTGATTATTTGGTAAGGTAGTTTGTTCCATCCACTGAGTTGATACAATCTCTATTGCAACAGTGCTTGGGTTAATCTTATTTCAGAGTCGGAATGCTGGGGCAATTCTGTTGCATGTATTGGTGAGACAACTGCTTTGGCTGCAAAAAGATTAGGCTTGAGAAATGTATATCATCCAACAAATCCTGGTCTGGAAGGGTATTTTCCTCTCCTAAGCTATCTATTGACACCATATGCTCTGAATTAATTTCTCTTTTTTTTAAGTACTTCTCACATAATCCTCTGCCATGAGGCTCCATAACATTAGCATGATTCTGAAACATAGCGTAATAAGGGAAGAAAATATTTTTGTTTCGTTCCTAATGTGCTCAAAAGCCTTATTTTACCTTTTTGTTTTTAACATGCCCAAACACTTATTCCACCACTTTAAGGACGATGAAGGAGACACGTTGGATGTATTAGATGAAGTGGGGAAGCTGATTAAAATACTGAACTATCATCTGTGATATCTAGTTATACTGTTGTACTTTTTACTACAGAACCTGCTAATGAAAAATCTTATGGGTTAATATGCTTGACACATGCATATATACAGTTTCATGATAAATCAGAACTCTTTTTTGCTTTGTTTGCTGAGGATAGTATGAATGATGATAGTAGTTATGCTATGTGGCTATACTTGTGCGAGACATTACATCAAAGTCAACTCAACCCATCTCATCAAAGTACCATCACTCTTCATACTGTTAATCTAGTCACACCATCCCATGTAGGGTCATATCTTCTCTTGAGTCAATGGCCATGTTATCTCTTCCCATAATTTATTTTGCTTTGGCCTTTCTTGCTTTGTGTTTAGCTGTTTGGGGTGCTTTAAACAGATGTTTCTTTCCATTTAAACTTGCTCCAGGCTTACCCCTTGTGGCACCCGCAGTTTACTGTCTAGTATGTCCTTCCATGTCATGCAACTCTGCCCACTTGATTCATCAAATTATCATGTGGAATAGCTGATTCTATGGGGCATGTTATTATTGATTCCATGGTATCTGATACCATTTAGCAGGGGTAGCTTTTGTTGAATATATGAATTGGAGTATATAGAATCTTTTTGTTTTTAATATTATGTATATAATCTGTGATTGTGTCAATCACTGATTTAGTACCTTGTTTATATCGTTTTCTAAATTGTATCATAAACCAAACCAAACCAAACCAAGCTTTAAGTCCCGTCAAATGGAGTCGGCTACATGAATCATTCTTTTTCACGCGGCTTTATCAATGGCTATTTCGTTAGTCAAATTAAGTAGATCCATATTTCTATTTACAGCGCTAGCCAACGTTAATCTAAGCCTACCAAGTCCTTAACACTTCCATCTACCGTCACTGCATCGCATCTCTTCACTACTACCTCTATTGGTCTCCGTTGAATATAACCAACCCATCTCAATCGATTCTCTCTCAACTCATTTTCTATTGGTGCTACTCTCCATTTCCGAATACACTTATTTCTAATTCTGTCTTATCTAGTTTTGCCACATATCTGTCTTAGCATCTTCATTTCAGCAACACTCATCTTATCTACATATTGTTTCTTGCTTGCCAACATTCCGTCCCATACAATATCGCTGGTCTAATAGCTATTCTATAGAACTTACTTTTTAGTCTAGTGGGTATTCGTTTATCGTACAGTACCCCAGACACATTTCTCCATTTAAGCCATCCCGCCTTAATCCTATGGGCCGCATCCGCATCAATCTCCCCCGCCGTTGTGATAATCGACCTTAAGTAACGAAAATGTTCACTTTTAGGCAATTCTTGGTTCTCAATCTTCACTTTTTCTCTGCTTTCATTGTTACTGTTACTAAATTTACACTCTATGTACTCTGTATTAGTTCTGCTTATCTGGAATCTTCTAAATTCAAGTGATTTTCTTCAACTCTCCAACTTTGTGTTTACTCCTTTTCTAGTCTCATTTATTAACACGATATCATTTGCAAAAAGCATACATCATGTCACGTCATCCTGAATATTTCTCGTCAACTCATCCGTAACTAACCCAAAAAGTTAAGGACTTAAGGTAGATCCTTGGTGTAACCCTACAGTGATAGGAAATTCATTTGTCTCTCCAGCAGGCGATCTAATAGTAGTCATCACCTCTTCATATATGTCCCTAATGTAACCTTTTGTCACCCTTTTCTTCTCCAACACCCACCATATTATATCCCAAGGCACTCTATCATGTGCTTTCTTAAGGTCGATAAACACCATATGAATGTCTCTCTTCTTTTCTTCATACTTTTCTATTACTCTCCTCAACAGATAGATCGCTTCCATTGTTGACCTGCTAGACATAAACTTAAATTGATTCTCTGACACCTCTGTTATAACTCGCAATCGGCGTTCCATCACCCTCTCCCACACTTTCATTATATAACGCATTAGCTTGATTCCTCTATAGTTGTTGCAATTCTGGACATTTCCTTTGTTCTTATAGATTGGCACTAAAATACTCTTCCTCCACTCATCTGGCATGTTCGTAGTCAACAAAATTTTGCTAAACCACCTAGTTAACCAAACAACTCCTTTTTTATCCAAATACTTCCAAGCTTCAATAGGGATATCATTGGGTCTTAAAGTCTTATTTGATTTCATCTTCTTAAGTGCAATCTCCACTTCAAAGTTTCTAACCCTGCGATATAACTTATAGTCTTGGTTTATCGTATTACTAGTTATTTCTTCTCCTATTGATGTATCTCCATGTTCCTCATTTAATAATTTCTCAAAATAGTTCTTCCATCTCTTCTTAATCTCTTCATCCTTCACCAATACCTTAGAATTCTCATTCTTGATGCACTTAATTTGAATAAAATCTCTTGTTTTCCTCTCCCATATCTTAGCAAGTTTGTATACTCTTTTCTCTCCCTCTTTACTATTTAGTATAGTATAGGTCATCATAAGCTTTCAACTTAGCCTCTCTCACTACTTTCTTGACCTTTTTATTAGTCAATCTATAGCTCTTAAGGTTTTCCTTAGTTTTATCTTTCTGTCACTTTTTAAAGTTATCTTTTTTTTGCCTTAACTACCGTTTAAACCTCTTTCCTCTACCACGAAGTTTCTCTAGAGCTGGGTCCTGTTCCTTTTGACTCTCCAAGCACTTCTCTTGAGATTCTCCTCATACTTCCTAAATTGTATCATGAATCTATTATATGTACATGACCTCTACCTCATTCATTGGTAAGTTAAATCATTCTTTTCATCTTTCTTGGGATCAGAGCCAAAGCACGAAACCCTAATCCTTTGCCCAACCACTGTAGGCACCTTTGCTTCACTGTCTAGACACTGTTTGATCTTTTTCCTTCCTTCTTAAGTGCCGATAGTCCCCTTCCAACCCTTTATTTCACTTGACAGCCCCACCCAGCCAACCTAGGTCCCCCGAAACCATCTACCCAACCCTCTACACCCCTCGGCAGGCTGCCCTAGTGTTGCCGAGGGTCTTGTTGGCTGCCGACCAGGGTGTTTCCTGGCCATAGATGCTTCGGTAACTCTTCTAGGGCAGTTTAGTCTCTGTTTTTCCTTTTCTAGGGTGTGGTGTTGATGTATAAAGCATTTTGTTTTTTGTCCTTTTTTTTTAATGGACTATCAGATTTGTTCGGTAGCATTTATTTGGACTAGCCGTTGAGTTTTTTCTGACGTCTCGTATTTTTTTGGACTGTGTTACTGTGATTTTGTGTTTTTTAGCCATTATTCATCCACCATGACTGACTCATCCCTTGTTGCTTCCGTTATGCCCACCAAACCTGTGCTAGTGACTTTTGATTTTTCTCTTTCTTATCACACTCCTGTTCATCGCATTACGAGTGTGGTCGCATTACGAGTGTGGTGTTGAATAGGAAAAATTTTGCTGCTTGGGGCCGCTCCCTTAAACTCTATTTAGGGGGAAAGCAAAAAGCCCATTGGCTCTCATCTTTTATTCAGCTTGCATCAACCGATCCTACACGTGCCCAGTGGGATATAGATAATTACACTATTCTAGGATGGATGCTTAATTCCATGGAGGACCATATTTACTACATGTTTCTTTATTGCGCCACAGTTTCGAGTCTTTGGCGTGTCTTGTCTCGAATGTATGCCCATGCTTATAATGATGCTCGCATCTTTGAGCTCTATCAGGACATTGCTCGTGCCTCATAGTCTACTTTGGGTCTCTCTGTGTCTGAGTTCATTGGATACCTTCAAGCCTGTTAGGAGGAATTGACTCAATATGAGCCCTTGACCGAGTTACCAGCAGATGCCGCTGCACTTGTGTCCAGTCGCTTTGCCCGCTAGCACACTTACCAGTTTCTGATGGGTTTAAACTCTGAATTTGAATCTCTTCGAACCCAGATTTTAAACACATTGCCCATGTCATCTGTTAAAATTTATCACCTACTTCACCCACTTAAACCTACTCCACTAAACCTAACCCACTACACCACTACCACCTCCACTTCACCTACTTCTTACCTACTACACACTCACCCTCTTCTATATATAGGAATCATGAATCATTGTAATAAAAACAACAATAAAAATATCAATCAATAATAATACATACAATTTATTCTCTCTCTTTCTCTATACATTATTTCTTACATCATCCCTCTATGAGGCTTACGCCACCATTGATAATGATAAGCGTCGTCGGCGTCTGGTTCAACCCACCACTACTCCAGTGACTCCTGTCTTATCTGACCAGATGGCCCTTGCCGCAAACTCTGATTCTCGGGGTTCTACTTGTTCAGTTACCTATCATCATTGTGGGGTTCCTGATCATGTCAAGGCTCGTTGCTTCAAATTTCATCCTGAGTTAAGGCAACGATCTTCTGGCCCTTGTTGTTCTGGCACACCTCGCACTGCTGCTTTAGTGGAGGCCTCTTATGCTTCTCGGTCTCCGAGTATTCCTATTTTACAGTAGTTACAGACTCCGATTAGCCAACTTCAGACTCAACTTGGGACTTTAACCAGTAATTCTTCTGGCCCATCATCCTCTACTACTGTTACTCTCGCTAAAGGTACTTCTACTGCTTTTTATGTTCGGTCTGTTGGTCCCTCGTGGGTTTTGGATTCTAGGGCTAATAATCATATGACGGGTGAGTTTTGCCGTCTTTCATTTCCAGTTCCTACTATTATTGACCAATCTGTTTGTTTTGCTAATGGATCTTTTTCCTCAGTTTGTCATAAGGGTCAAGTGTTTTTATCTCCTGATATTACTTTATCATGTGTTTTACATATTCCTAATTTTGCATATAATCTACTATCCTTTAGTTGGCTTGCCAAGTCCTTGAATGTGCTGCTATTTTCTTACCTTCTTTGTGTCTGTTATAGGACTTGAGTTCGACTTGAGTTCGAAGAGGATTTTTGACAAGGGATATGAGCATGATAGACTTTATTACTTTGGGGATCCACTGGACCAACGTCCTTCTACTTTAGCTAGTTTTTCGGTGTCTGTTTTGCCTGTTTCTATATCTTGTGTTTTTAATGTTCAAACTTTAGAATTGTGGCATGCATGTATAGGTCATGTCAATTTTTAATACTTGTGCCAACTTTTTCCTTATTAAATAAAGCTTGCAAAGATTCTAAGATTGATTGTGTGATTTGCGAATTATCTAAACATACTCGTACCAGTTACATGCCTCATATGACTCGTGTCCCTAGTGCTTTTGACCTTATACATTATGATATTTGGGGTCTGTCTCTTGTTCCTGCTTTTTCTGGCCATTGATATTATGTCACCTTTATTGATGACCACGCTAGATGCACTTGGGTATATTTAGGCCAAGTTTGGGAAGACTAAATAAGTGCACTTTTTGTCTTTTTGGACTAAAAAATTGAGATTGAAAATATGGATGTTTGGGTTAACTTTTTGACTTTTTATGAAAAAATGTGTAATAAAAAATTGTAAAAATTGGTTTGTAGAGGAAAATTTGAATTGGGAGTTGTGCAGCCGTAATTGTTGACTTTTGGTGAATAGTGTTAACTTTTTAACTTTTTGAGTAACTTTTTGGCTTTTGGCTTATTTGGGACTTCCCAAACTTAGCCTTACTCCGTTGTAAGTCTGACGTGTTTCTCATTTTTGTTCAGTTTTTGCAAATGGTTAAGACTCAATTTTGTACAGTTGTTAGGAATATCCGTTTTGATAATGATAGGGAATATATTTCCAATGCTTTTCGTTCCCATCTTAATCAGACTGGTATTCTTCAACAACTTACATGCCCACGAACTTTTGAGCAAAATGGTGTTGTTGAACGTAAAAATCGTTATATTATGTCTGTTGTGCAGTGTCTCCTTCGTGGTATGAGTGTCCTTAAGTCCAATTGGCATATGGCTGTCTTCACCGCTGTCTATCTTATTAATAGGACCTCTAATCGTGTGTTGCAGGGTCTTACCTCATTTCATGTTCTTATGCCACACACTACTCTATTTCCTCTCCTACCCTGTGTCTTTGGTTGTACCTGTTTTGTTTAGGATCGGAGTCTTGCTCGTACAAAGTTAGATGACTAGTCTATTCGTTGTGTCTTTTTGGGGTATTCTTTCATGTCAAAAGGGTATATATGTTTTGATCTTGTGTCTCGTCACTTCCACCACACTTTGGATGTTAGTTTTTGTGAGGATCTCCCATTTTTTGGTACTAACCCTCCTTTGCAGGCTTCCACTCCCGTTACTTCTAGTGTTTGCCCTATTCCTATTTTAGACGAGGTTACGGATAAGGTTGTTCCTATTAGAATATTGCCTTGTTTCCTTATTTAGATTAGATTGTGATTTCTTAATCAGTCAATCAATTAATCTATCAATATAAAAGGTGATTCCTTAATCAGTGCCTTAGGGCTTCCTTTTGTAACAGTTGATTGATTAATATAAAAGGTGATGATATCATAATCATCACCTAAGCTTTGTATTCTCTTAAATTACATGGTATCAGAGCCAAAACCCTAAAAACTGTCACCCACACACTTGTTGCTACCAACCAGCCATCATTTATCACCACCCATCCTCCATCGCTGGTCCCTAAGTCTCTGTCGGAACCAGCTAAGGTCCCATATAGCTGTTTCGGCTTCAGCCGAAGGCTCCTCTGGCCTAGTTGACCCTTGTGAGGGTTGTCCTAGCCTCTCTTTAAGTATTTCGGCTCCTATGGATGAGTGTTTGAGGGCTGTCCTTCTTTTGTTTCCCCGAGTTTCTTTCCCTCTATTTTCTTGAATGCAATTTAGCACTTGTTTTGATTGGAGGTTTATTTTTCAATATTTGATTTATTTTTTGGGTCTATAGATGCCCCATTAATCTGATTGTTATGCTGCCATAGTGGTCTGTATGTAATTTTGCTTGTTCCAGTCCATTCTATTCCGCTTTCCATTCTTGTGATTCGTGTAAGGTTTTTTGAATTGAAATTGTAAAGTTCTTATGGCTGACCTAACTAGTGAATCCATCTATTTCTCATCCATTTAAAGAGGAGAGCTGTAGTCCAGTTATAACTACTACATCTGAGAACCTGAACCCTAGCCTCAAAATCACCACCGTTCTGTTTAATGGTCAGAAATACCTTTCATGATCTCAATGTCTGACACTTTTTCTGAAGAATAAGGGGAAAATGGGATATGTTAATGAAAGAGTTTAAGCACCAGGTATTACGGATCCTCGCTATGACCAATGGAAGATTACTAACTTTTAATCATGGGTTGGCTCATTCATTCCATGGTTCCTGAGATTTGTGAATGCTACTTATCCATGGATATTACCTAGGATATTTAGGAAGTAGTCGCCGCTACATATTCTCGAAAAAGAAAATTTTTTTAGTCTTTTGAGTTGTGTCGGTTTATTGAGCGCTCAATACAGGGGGAGTAGACACTTCCCAAGTATTACACCTTTTTTACTAATGGTTGGAAATGCGTAGATCATCTCTTGGATTACAAACTAGTTAGTATAGTTAACTCAGTTGGTTACCAGAAGTTTCTTGCCCGGGAGACCATTTTGAAGTTTATGGAAGGACTCAATGTGGAGTATAATCCGGTCCGAAGTCGTGTCCTTAGCATGGATGTTCTTCCATCTTTTCAATAGGCATTTGCATATATACAGAATGAAGAGAGTCATCGTTTTACTATACTACCACCGGATACTGGAGACTGTTCAGCATTATTTTCTACTACTCCTCGAGATGGGACTGGTTTGTCACTACCTCCTTCCCATCCTTTAGGGAAGGATACTATGTTCTGTGATTATTGCCGCAAGCCGCAGCATACTCGTGAGATGTGTTGGAAGTTTCATGGGGCTCCATTAGGGAGTCAGGGTGATCGGCCTAGTACTGGAGACGGTCAATCAGGCCAGTTTAGAGGACGTGGCTCTAATCCACAGGCCCATCAGCCTAGTGCTGTTGGCACCCTTGATTCTACTTCCACTTCAGTTGGTCTGACTTCTAATAGTTTATCTAGCACGACTTCTCTTGAGCTTGAGGATGTTCTGCGTCATTTGCTGGTCTGCCAGTCTTTTATTGCTCCTAGAGCATCTTTCTCATCGTTTGCTCGCTCAAGTAACTTAACCTCTTCTCCTAGTGTTTTTCTTTCCCATAAGTCTTTGTCATGGATTATTGATTCTGGTGCCTTAGATCATATGTCTGGGTCTTCTTATCTTTTCTCAGCATATAAGCCCTTTTCAAGTCAAGACAAAGTTAGGATTGTAGATGGTATTGTTTCTTCTATCTCTGGAAAAAGTTTAATTCATGTCACCCCCACCTTACCTCTGTCTCTAGTGCTCCATGTTTCCAATTTTTTTTATTAATTTTCTATCTTTGAGTCGTATTACTAAGGATTTGAACTGTAGTGTGACATTTTTTCTTGATTATTGTCTCTTTTAGGACTTTGTCACGTGGAGGACGATTGGCGGTAGTAGTGCAAAAAATAGTCTCTATTTCTTGGATCATCAGAACAAGCCTGCTCATCATTCCATCCAGTTCCTAGCCACCAAGGAGGATTTATGGTTGTGACATCGGCGTCTTGGACATCCTTCTTTTCATTTACGTAAGTATTTATTTCCGTCTGTTTTTACAAACAATAATGTGTGTGAGTTTTTTTGTGAGTCCTATCAACTTAGCAAATAACACCGAGCTTCTTTTGCTCAAAGTCTATAAAAGTTTAGCTCATTTTTCTTTAATACATTTTGATTTATGGGGTTCATCTCGTGTTGTGTTTGTATAAGGCCATAGATGGTTTTTTACCTTGATCGATGATTTTTCTTGTACTACTTGGGTGTATCTCATGAAAGAAAAAAGTAAGGATTTCTCTGTATTTCAAAATTTTCATAAAATGATTTGTACTTAGTTTGGGGTAATTATCAAAATCTTGCGTTCTGATAATAAGGGTGAATACATCGATTCGAGGTTAGAGAACTATTTTTTCACTCATGGCATTATACATTAGACATTTTGCACCAATACCCCTCAACAAAATGAGATTGCAGAGCGCAAGAATCGTCATTTTCTTGATATGGCTTGCTGCATGTGTTTTTCTATGAGTGTGCCTCGGTCCTACTGGGGTGAGGCCGTTCTTACTGCAACCTATCTCATTAATCGTCTTCCTACCCAGGTTTTGCAAAAACAAACTCCACTTGAAGTCCTTCTCGGTTCAGAATCTTTGTTTTCCATTCCCCTTAAAATATTGGCTGTCTGTTTTGTCTACAATCATTCTCCTACTCGTGGTAAGTTGGATCCTCGCTCTCTCAAGTGTGTTTTTCTTGGATACTTGCTTACTTAAAAGGGGTATTAAGTGTTATCACCCTTCTTCTTGTAAGTGGCTTGTATTCATAGATGTCACCTTTTTTGAGTCCCAGTCCTACTTCATGTCTTGTCCGGTGTCACAGGCATCCCTTCAAGGGGAACCTTGGTGTGAAGAGATCCATGTTGTCCCTGTTGCTCCTATGGTGAAACCAGTTGTTCTTGTATCACCTATTATTGGGATTATAGAATCCAATGCCATCAAGGACAGGGAATGGCTAGTTTATGTTAGGGACAAAGATAGACATAAAGTTACTTGGATACAAGAGACTACTTCTGCTCACCCACTGCCATCTCTTGTTTCTGATAAGAGTTCAGGTAACTTTGAACCTCTTGTTTCTCTTGAGTCTATTGATATTGCTATTCCTGACACTACTGATCTTGATATTCCTATTGTCAAGAGAAAGGGAGTGAGATCTTGTACTCAACATCCTATCTCAAACTTTGTGTCGTACTCTTATTTGTCTTCCTCGTATAGAGTCTTTGTATCAATCATTTCCTCTGTTAATATTCCTAACCATTTTCAGGATGTTCTTGTTACCTTTGAATGAAAACTTGCCATGATTGAGGAAATGAAAGCACTTCGTAAGAATGACACTTGGGAATTAACTGAGTTACCTAAGGGCAAACGACCGGTGCGATGCAAATGGGTGTATACTGTGAAGCACAAAGTAGATGGTTCCATTGAGCGTTATAAGGCTCGACTTATGGCAAAAGGCTTCACGTAGACTTATGGAGTAGACTATCAAGAGATTTTTGCACCAGTGGCTAAGATGAATTCAGTCTGAATACTTTTCTCTCTAATAGCTAATTTAGATTGGCCACGTCATCAATTTGATGTAAAGAATGCTTTTTTACACGGTGATCTAGAAGAAGAGGTATATAAAGACATTCCTTCTGATTTTGAGAATCATCAGACATAGGGTAAAGTATGCAAGCTTCGGAAGTCGTTATATGGTCTTAAACAGTCTCCAAGGGCTTGGTTTGAGAGATTCACTCAGGCTATGCTTAAATTTGGGTTCAAATAAAGTCAGGCAGATCACACTTTCTTTGTGAAACATTCTTCACGTGATAAGACTACAACTCTCATTGCTTTTGTGGATGACATAGAACTTACAGGCGATGATAGTGAGAAAATACCCCTGTTGAAGAAATATTTAGCTAGTGAGTTTAAAATCAAAGACTTGGGGAACTTAAAGTATTTTTTGGGAATCGAAATTACTCGCTCCAAGGATGGGATTTTCATCTCACAAAGGAAATATGTTCTTGACCTTTTGAAGGAAACATGAATGCTTGGATGTGAGACCTGTGATACCCCAATGGAACCTAATTAGAAACTTGGTGATGATGATGAAGGAGCGGCTGTTGATAAGGGGAGTTATCAGTGAGTAGTGGGTTAAGAAGCACGGGCACTTCTAGGAAGGTGACGTATCCGTGTCGGGTACGTGTCGGACACCGACACTCTTTGGACACTCTCAGGACACGTGTCCGACACTCTTCAAAACGTGTCCTATTGTTTAAAGACTTGGACACTCTTTGGACACTTGAAGGACACACGTGTCAATCGTTTAAACGCACGTGTCTAACGATTAGACATACGTAAAACTAATTATAAGTTTGAATAAAATAACTTAAGATACAATAATAAAATAAAAACCATATAAATTTATAAGAATTAGTGTCATATTGCATTTTTTATTATCTTTGAATGATATATTCATATATATATATAACATATAATAAATATATAAAATTATGTATTTCATGCGTGTTTTCATCGTGTCGTGTCCTGTATTTTTTGAAAATTAACGTGTCGGCGTGTCCGTGTCGTACTCGTGTCGTGTCACGTGTCCGTGTCCATGCTTCTTAGGTAGTGGGTAAGCTTATTTACTTATCTCACTTTCAGCTTGATATTGCTATTGCTGTCAATATGGTTAGCCAGTTTATGCATGTTCCTCATCAAATTCACTTAGAGGTTGTTATGAGAATTCTAAGGTACTTGAAATCTTTTCCTGAAAAGGGTTTTTACTTTTCCAAACATGATCACCTCAGAGTGGAAGCTTATACAGATGCTGACTGGGTAGGATCAATAACTACTAGGAGATCTACATCAGGATAGTGTACCTTTGTGGGCGGCAATTTTGTTATTTGGAGGAGTAAAAAACAGAATGTGGTGGCTAGCTTGAGTGCAGAAGCTAAATTTAGAGCTATGGCACAAGGTGTGTGTGAACTTTTGTGGATCAGACTCTTGTTGAGTGATTTGGGGATGGGCCAGATAGACTCTATGCGGCTATGTTGTGATAATAAGGCTGCCATCAACGTAGCTCACAATCCTGTTCAACATGACAGGACATAACATGTTGAGATTGATCGCCACTCCATCAAGGAGAAAATCACCAGTGGCATGATATGTACACCTTTTGTGAAGTCAGTCGAACAACTTGTAGACATCCTCGCTAAGGGAGTTGGGAGTAACCATTTCATGACATTCTAGGCAAGCTGGGCATGCGAGATATCTTTGCACCAGCTTGTAGGGGAGTGTTAGAATATTTCCTTGTTTCCTTATTTAGATGAGATTGTGATTGATTGATTGATTATGATTCCTTAATCAGTCAATTAATCAATGAATACAAAAGGTAATTCCTTAATCAGTGCCTTAAGGCTTCCTTTTGTAACATTACAGTTGTTTCTCAATCTGGGCTCTCTTGTTTCTCTGATGCTGACTATGCAGGATCGAGAATTGATCGGTGTTCTACTTTTGACTTCTGTAGTTTTTATGGTGATCATCTTATATCATGGAACAATAAGAAGCAAGCAGTTATTTCTAGATCTTTTGCAGAAGCTGAGTATCGAGCTATGGCACAGGGAACATGTGAGATTCTATGGCTTCGTTTTATCCTAGTAGAGTTGGATTTTGAGGAGACTGGTCCTACCTCCTTATTTTGTGACAACAAGTCTACTATTATACTGTCCTCTGATTCTGTCCTTCATGAACGTACTAAGCATATAGAGGCTTATATTCATTTCATTCGAGAAAAGGTTCGGACTGGTATTGTGAGTCCATCCTTTGTCTCTTCCTTTCAGCAGTTAGCATATATGTTCACAAAGTCTGTAAGACCGACATTACTTCAGTCATCCGTTGACAAGCTGCTATTGTTGAATATTTTTATACCAGATTGAGGGGGAGTGTTAAATATAGGAATTAGAGTATATAAAATCTTTTTATTTTTAGTATTATGTATATAATCTGTGATTGTGTCAATCAATGATTTGGTGCCTTGTTTATATCGTTTCCTAAATTGTATTATGAATCTATTATATATACGTGGCCTCTACGTCATTCATTGGTAAGCCAAATCATTCTTTTCATCCTTTTGCTTTATGGTTTTCTCTTAAAACTTCTACCCTTATTTAAGGTACTTGTACAATATTTTCTTAACAATTAGGCATCCAGTGAAATACAGCTATTTTTTTTTTTTCCCTCTTCAAATTAATCTTGTAAAAGTACATTTTTATAAGTATTATTATGGTCCATTTGTTACACTCTGTGCTACCAAAACTTCATTCTACCTATATTTCAACTTGTAAAATTGATGTATTTATTGATTGATTTCTTGATGTTATTTTCTGTCTATTACAAATGGTTCCTTATATAGATGTAGGTGTAGTGGATGGTGTGTAGTGGATGGTGATAGTGGTGTAGTGGGTTAGGTTTAGTGGAGTAGGTGAGGTGGTAGTGGTGGTAGGTGATAGTAAATTCTAACACAACTCATTATATTTTGTCTTATCCTACTAAGAAATGTTTCGAGGAGATAAATAACTCATTATATTTTGTCTTATCCTACTAAGAAATGTTTCGAGGAGATAAATAGGAAAATTTTGGAATCACTAAATTCGCCATTTTGGCACAAAGTTGTTAGCATCTTTGCTTTTTCTGAACATGCTTTCCAAAATATAAGTCACTAGGGTGTTAATGATTTATGGTAACACTGAGTTTGAAGAGACTTTTGAATTTTCCATTATCATAATTCCTTGGATATATCTATAATTTCTAAATTTCTTAGAATCGCCAAGTCAACTAAATTATTTTAAAGCATAACTGCTATCTGTTTTTAGTAATATCTTAAAGTAATTTCACTTTAAATATCATTTAAAGTAACTTTTTGGCTAAAATATAATGTAAAAAAAATTAGTATATTTGGGATGACTTTTGATTTTTTTATGAAAAGATGTGCAAAAAGTAGAGAGAAAATAGAATCTTTGACTTTTTGGTATAGATTGTTAGTTTTTTGATTTTTTTAGTGACTTTTTGACTAAAAAAGCCACTTGCCAAATGAGGAGTCTCAATTTTTCCTCTACTTCAATAGAGAAAGATTGACTACAAATTCCTAGTCGTATTGATTTACAATTTAAATTGTCCTATTGTCTAAAGCTCACCTTACTTATTTAGGTCAGTCCTGTCTATCAAAAATTTCTTCGTTTCGGCTTTAGTATTAAGCTTGATCAGGGTTTTTTGCTATTAAAAAAAAATAAAATGTAAATCATTCCATGTTCATTTCTTTTTAAATGACAACCAATGTTTTAAAAAGCAGCCGCAGCCGCAACCGCAACCGTTACGTAACGTGGTTACCGCCACCCGTTATGGTCGTTTTTGCGGTGTGATTGAGATTCACAGGTGTGTCGGCCGTAGCGGCTGCCGTAGCAGTCGTAACGGCCATAACGGTCTGTTACGCACCGTTACGTAACGGTTTTGAAGTGCTTCTTTCGGAAAAAAAATGGGGGAAGAGGGATGGAGAGAGAAGAGAGAAGATGAAGAACGTATTATTGATTTGTTGAAGCTGTAAGACCTATGCTATTCTATTCAGTTGCTATCATTTAAATCATTTTGTTTGTGTGTGTCTATCTATATATTGTTTAATAATAATAATAATAATAATAATAATAATAAGTGTGGTCATTAACTATTTGGCTTGATTAAAAAAAAAATGTATATATATATTTAGGCTCTTATTTATTCTCTTACTTTTGTCATTGTTTATCTTATATATAATAGTTAGTAATTGATTTTTTTGTAAAATATCTAGAAAACATAACACCTATAATTATATATTAATACATATTTTATACATGTCAATTTTTTTAGATTAATTTATTTTATTTTAATTTACAAGTTTTTCAAAAAGATAATGAATATTCAAGTGATCCAAACCCCCCCCCCCCCAAAAAAAATCTTTATCATTTATTTTTTAATTTTTATACGAGCACATTAGCATGTATAATTTATTTTTTAAAACTATTTAAGTTAAAATTTGCATATGTTTCCACAAGTATAATAATTAAAAAAAATAATTTTATATATCTAAGTTCAATAAAATTTTTTTTTGCCACAAGCGTAATATGAATTTATGACATATAAAGTCATTAATTATTAAATAAAATGTAAAAAACTCAGTTTGTAGTGATTTAAAAATATGAAATATATTGGATCATGCTTACAAATTTACAAAAATTGATCAATATTTATTTTAAAACCTAATAAATATGATTATGTAAAAAAAATATGCATATCAGTAAGTTTTTCTCAAATTGTGCGAAAAATAAAAAAATTCACGATTCTGGTTATCGCAACCGTTACGTTACGGCTTTTACACCCCGCAACCACAACCGGGCTATTGCCACCGTTACGGTGACCGCAATCGCTTTTCAAAACCTTGATGACAACCCTTTCCTTTTAGGCTGCTTTTTTTTTTTTTTCTTTCAAATTCAAGTAACTAGTTTTTCCATGTCATATAATATCTATTTATTAGGCTAAATCTGACTACCATCATTGAACAATTTATCTTAAAATTAGTTTAGGTCTTCTCCTTTTTGGGTTTTGCCACCAACCCTGACTATGAAGGCTCCTTCTGCTGCTATTCTGTAAATCCTTGCTTCAACTTTTGTTAAATGGCACTCTTCTGGTCTCATTTGTTAAATTAAATCATTGACATTGTTTGATTTGAAAATTATTGATTGGTCATTTCTTTTTAGGTTCACAATGTTCATTTTTACGCAAGTAGCAGGTTATACATATGTTACAGAAAGTGGATGCTTTTCTTGTTTTAGTTTGTAGTGTTGACGATTTTTTCCTGTTCTATATTTTAGTGTGACGACTATAGCTTTCTACATTTTCCAAATTGACTTATAATTCTCAAGATCATTTAGCATCCCATATAATTCTTTCTATATTGTCAGCATGCCCAAATCTACTAATTGGTTGCAGCAAGATTAGTTAATAGGATTGTTGAATTAGTCTATTTGGAAATCTTGCTAAATGATCCCTTGGCTTTCGTAAAATCTACTTTTTGCAGATGGGTTGATAGCATTCTCGAAGCTTTAAAAGTCCGCGATCAATTCCAGAAGGTCCAATAGTGGTGCTGTTGTGCCATCTGTAGCCTTCAGTTTTTTCAAGGTATTTTGTGACTACTTGTTCTCCTCTTCATTCCCCAAAGATAAATATAGTTATTGCTTTCTTTCTTTGTCATTCAGGGCCTGCAGGGTTCGATTGGCAGCCAATAATTGCAGGAGTAATAAGCAAACGTGCACATTCCTATGTAAAATTTTCTCAAAACAAGAGAGATAAGTCGCAAACAGCAGAACAGAAAGGTGTCAAACCGTTTGCCTTTGCGGAGTGATCATGTACATTTGGCAGAGCTACTGCAAGGTAAGTTAGGCAGCTGTTTATAGATGATATTTTGTAAGACAAATAAGCAACTTGTATATACATTTTGATGCTGTAGATATCCTACTGTTAATATATTAAATTCTATGATCAGCTTGAAGAACCCCTTTGTGGAACACTAATACTATTGAAATAAAATTTTATTACTAATAGCTTGTCATTGTTTTGTCTCTCCAATCACTAGCTTCAAAGTCATCATTGGTGCCCTGTTCCCCTAAATTTGTGCACTTGAAAGATTGAAAAGTTATTAGATTCTGTGATGTATTTTTGTGATTTATAATGGTAGTCTACTAACAGCTTTGAGAAATGAAATGATGGGGCAGTATTATTTGAAATTTCAAAACTAATGAATGAAGTTCAACATAACAAGTGAATTGGTACCCTTGAATTACGATGTTTTCCAGAGCACTGTTGAAGAAGGTATAACCCAATGCTGAAAATGCAGTGAACAATATTCCTAGAAAGCAGCACCGTAGTTGGAGGTTCATGTCCATAACTTCTTTGTATAATGCCTTCCACAGTGAAGCCAACAGAACCTTTGTGTATATTGGTGGCTCAAGTGCCAAGACTGTTGCCCACATGATATTTTGCAAACTGGTTGACTTTTGATTTGACCTGTCAGTCGAGTACGTGTGATTCTTTTGTGCACCTATTCGGAGAAGGAAATGGACCAGATGTCGATTTCAAGGTCAATTCTTGAGATTGGTCTCCACTTTTTGGATCTTTTGGCACATAAGATGCCAAAAGGGTGACCTTTTGTAATTGCTTATGGAGTTTTAAGATGCCGAAGGTGAACTTACATGTAGTAACTGCATTGGCAGACTATAATGATAGGTAGACCTTTTGGGTGCCTTGGATAGCTGTGGCTTGAAAATAAAATCCTTGTAGTTGAGGGAACAAAAAGAAGAAACTGGTCGTGATAAATTTGAGAAAAACAGATTTATTTTCTCATTTGGTGATTATTGTAAGTTACGATTTGCCTTGACATTACGGCCCTTGTGCTTATTCCATCCATGTGCAGAACCCTCCTATGAAAGATATAAAATTGGGTTTTATGGGTTGTTAAGGTGGAGCTAGTTCAGTTTTTATATATATATATTTACTTAATTCTTTTTCTTTTTCTTTTGCTTGGTGTCTTGATAATGGCTTGTTGCTGAGAATTTTAATGTAGCTATGTTTTAATAGTCCAACTGGCACTATTCAACATGCTAATGGGGACAATGGATCATATGTAGTTATTGAAGAAAATGATATATGTTAATGTATGTCACGTCCAAGTTGAAAATGAGGTGGAAATTTATTTCAAAGGGATTGATCTCCACCAAATAGGGTTATAAATGAGTTGAATCAAGTTTGACTTATTTATCTTTCGAGTCAAGCTCAAGTAGCTTCATTTTTACAGTGCATATACATTTATTGAGCTGAGTTCAAGTCGAGCTCAAGCAATTTATTCGCTTCAAAATGTGTTGAAGTTAGATTTATTTATATAATGATTTGAGCTCAAGCAGTTTGGTTCATTTTACAGTTCTACCACCAAAGCGGTTAGACTTTCGGGATAGAATTGCCACTTTGGACAGTTTCTTTAAAACTAATTCATCCCTTTACTTTTTGTGCTTGGGGGTGTCTGCTGGAGACACTTCCAAGTTTTTAAGTTACAGAGGTGAAATGGATATGGCAGCCTTCTTGTAGGCTCTTTGTGATTTGGGTGTATAGTTTTGGGAATCCAATGAAGTGTGTAGACTGAAAAAAGTGTGTTGATGATATTCACTCATTGATGCTTCTTTTCTTCTTTTACTTTAATCTTGTATTGCTGCTTTTTATTTATTGATTTACTTTTTGCTGACCATGTGAATATGTCTAATGTTGCTAAGTTCTGGGGTCATACTATGCCACATCTTGTCTGAACAAGCTTATTATATGTATTCTTCTCTTAAAATAGTACTTGTTTTTTTAATTGAAGCCTGACCTGTTTGTGCTTAGAGGGTGAATAGGACAAACTCATAAGGAAGACTATCAATTAAATTTTTTGTTTAATTTTATTAATGAATATTAATTTTGCATATGGCAACCACAGAAAAACAACAATAATCAAGAGAGGAAGAAACAATTTTACCTAAAATTTTTTTAAAAAAATCTAGAAAAAAATTATAGATGCACCCAACCAAATAATTCAATTATGAATTGAGAAGAGTACAAGACTCAAGATGAGAGCATTTACAACCCAACCCAGTTTACTTCACTTTAGCAATCTTTTGCTTTTGGCTTGTGTTCCACTCCTCGTGGTTCTGACTCCACAGGCACTCTTGATGTACTAGCGCTCTATGGAATTCCTCACTCCAATTTCTGCTCATTGCGGCTCTATTACATGACGACCAGTGGATAGGTATGCAGTGCAAGTCTGATGTGGGTTTTAGCTAAACTCTCAAACTTAATTTTCTCACAAAAAGAGAAAAAACTCTAATGTGTGTAATCATGCATGCAAAAGAAATTTGGTTGTATTTATTGAAAACTAGGTTTTGAGTGCTAGATGGAGTTGGTTTTGGGAGTGTTCTAAGCATGCACTTCTGGAATCGAGCCAAAAACTTGGAAGCCCACTTGAGTTGGTTCTCAAGAAACATAATGAAGTCATGTATTTAAAAGTAAATCGAAGTTTAGGTGTACAAGAACTACAAAATAAGTTAGATAAGCCAATGTTAATGCAATTTAAAAATCTAAGTGTTGTGAACTAATGTAACATGCTCATGCAAATGCACTTGAGAATGTAGTGAAGCAAAGCTTGCATTCATAGTGTCAGTCTTAAAATCTAACCAACCATTCGAGTTTGGTGGGCAATTTAGCTAGGTGAATTGTCAATTGCTGAAAAGCTGTGGTGATTTTCTAATTTGATATTCTCACGACCGACAGTAACATGCATGGTGTTGTTTGTTTATATATTTTGAAAAATATTATATATATGGCATATATAAAGAAGAAGTGAGAACATTGTTATATTATATGAATTGCTTCGTCTTTTTCTCATATTTAATTGTGTAGACATTGCACAGAAAGCTTTAGGTTTGGATTTATTACAATGAAGTTGTTTATGTGGTAAAGTACAGCTATAATATTAATGGAAGAGGCAGAGATTTTCTTCTATGGGGACCATTCTTTCATTAATGCTGGCAATGCCGAATACCAAAAATAAATAAAATAAAAAGGCTGGCAAAGCCAAACCCAAGATGATAGAGGACAATGACTGATCTCTGCATAGCACATTAAGCTCCTAAATTGTTTTTGTTTGTTCTTTTGTCTCACTTTGTCTCATTACCTGGCTTATCTACCTCAACCATTGTATTGTTTTGCATTTATGTTTTTCTATTTTACAAAACAGAAAAAAATTGAAGCAGATACAGAAAATTTGTTTGGCAAATTGATTCTTGCTTGAAAGACCTCCTTTACAAAACACTTTAAAATTACTCGTGTTTTCTGTTGTGTAGAAAACAATAACAAACAGGGCATCTTTCTCCTCTCTCTGATGTTCTAATTTGCTACTGTCTTTCAATATATATCTTATTACTTGTGAAGTAAAATATTTTGTGGAAATTACAAAACAATAGCTAGATGTCTGAAGCAAGATTTTAATTCTGATTCTGTGTTTGTATACGGTGTTAGTGAGAATTGATCTCATAAAATAGTGTCCCATTTGCTTTTGTTAATTATATTTTTGATAGTCGTCGTGGTTATGCTTATTACTACTACAATAATTTTGTGATTTGCTACGCTTTTTTTATGTGTGCTGAATTCAATCACAGAACTAGATACAATACTCTTTCATTGAGTGGAGATCCACCAAATTGAGTGGGTTGTATCCGATTATGTGATCTGATTCTGTGCACGTAGAATTTTTCTTTCACTGCAATGTTCTCTTGGCACTGAAACATATTTATGGCATTGCGTTTAAATGCTTCATCTCTCTATCTGAATGCATCTGTACATTGTTAGTAGTATGTGCTTTTCTTTCAATAGGAGGATATTTGGTTCTGGGTCTGGGAGATGAAATTACTTCGAAAAATAATAAAAAAGAAAAAGAAAAAAAAAAGAATATACAACAAAACTCAAGATACTGTCTACAGGACACGGTCAAGAGACCCACTATGTCACAAGCTAGGCAACTCAAAACTGAACTAGCCTGAAGAAATGTCCGCTCCCAATCCCTGTATGTTAGGCCAATAGAGAGAAAATTAAAAAAATCCTCACATCCCGAGAGGAGAGGGCATAAAGAAACAAAGCCAAATACATAACCATAACTTCATAAATTTGAAAAAATAAAAACAAACACATAATAATAATAAGAAGTTTTGAGGTTGTGAATCTTTTTCTTGAGCTTCTTTTGTGTTATATTCTTGCGGGAGGGGTGTTCTTCACATTTCCCAGTGCCCCAACAAAATTTAGTTTGACGTCTGAGTTCAAGTCTTATTGCTTTGAATACAGCTTTCTTTTTCCTATTCCCCTTTTGAAATAAAATTAAAAATTAAAAAGCTGGCTTCTTGTTGGCAAAGTGTCTTATGATTAGTGTTTTATCAAATCCAAAACATGTACATTCCTATGGTGGTGAGCCCGGAATGGGCCACCCAGAGACTTGTTTTTAGTAATACCGACTCACATGTTTATGTTCTGCTCTGCATGTTAAGTCATTTTCTTTCCAAACCAAGTATAGTAAAGCTTAATTATTAAGTAGGACGACTTTGGTTAATGTTTGTTGTTAAAATTGATGGTACAAAAAAATGAAATTCATGATCATACATTACAGGTAAAGGAAAGAGGTTGGGTGCTCAAGTAGGACAGCATATGCATATTGAGTCATGGTTCATGAGTGATGACTAGTGTAGTTTACCTCGCATTTTATAAAACTGTAAGTTGCAGGTGAAAGGTGGGCTTTTGATTGTCACCACTGAATTTGTAAAAAGGGATAGCCTTTTAGCATGTGGCTGCTTTTGCCCTTTTATCATCATGACCCTGCTGTGTTTTGCTCCCCCTAGGCTAGGACCATTGTTTCCATTTTCTATTTTGGCCTCATGCCCACAAAAAGTGAGACCTCAGAAACCCATGTAGAGAGAGAGAGAGAGAGTAGGACCACTCAAAGCCATTGGTATGGTGTTCCCTTTTGACCTCTGATCCTAT